TAGCACAATAAGCAGAGTTGGTGAATAAAATAGAAGATTTCAAATTACCCTAATAGAGGATGGGTGGCGCAGGAGTCGGCTACTCGCCAGCTGAACTTACAACATCCAAACTGACGGATCAAAAATGGTTCATGGATAGGGAGAAGGAATCTGTTGCTTGTAGATGGATCCTTTAAGCTTCCGGTACAYTCCAGTATCTTTCAGGGGGAGGTATTTGCGGTTAGGAAATCGGCTGAAATAACTAATAAAATAGAGAACAACATAATAAAAATGAATATATAGTTAGAAATCTAAGCGGCAATTGAGACARTAAACGCACTACATCAGAGAACACCTTTGGAAGCTGGAGGCCAGTATATATAACAGCTGCTGGAAAGAGGMTACGTTTATACTAGGTTTTATGCCAAAAGTGCAAAAAGTACAGCGATATAGGTATGAGATTTCCAATCCAGCTTTATCTAGACCTCGTCTTGTATACCTAGGGGCTCCGCAGTTCAAGGGACTAAATGAAGTATCATTATTAGATATAAGATCGCTCTTAAATAGTTCGCAGAAAGCGTTGCCGTTCGACGCATAACRCACACGTGAACTGAAAGTAAACTTAACATTTGAAGTCAGACTGAGAAAAAACGAGTGTGTAAATAGCTTTAGATTTTGAAAAGCAGAATAAGTGAAATAAGAAATTATGTTAAAAAATGGACCTGATGATCTAGATCCGATTTTCGAAAATGTATTAATTTCGAAATTCTGATCTATAGTATTCGTTTTGCAAAAATGCAAAAAAAAAACACAAAAATTCTAAAAATATGTACTATATTCGAAATGCTGATCCARATAGTCAGGTCCGATTTGGAATCCGAATTTCGAAAACGTATTATATTCGAATTTCGGATCTATCGTATAATTATGCAAAAATGTACCTGAAATTTTTTTCAGTGATATCCAGCTGATTATTAACAACTCGTTGATGATCGTTAACTTATTCAATGGACAGACATTATTGTACCACTTKAATCTACCTAACCATTTCGCCAAATCTCTAATCGTTGAAAGGAAATCGTAGCTATACACGTAGTCGAAATTTTTATATGATTTACTCAAAGAAAAATAAAATTTCCCGAAAAATTTTATAAACCAGCTCATTTTGTGCTCCAATGCCGGAACGTCTACTTCCTCTTCGCTGCACAACAGCGCAGTGAACGCACARCTGACAACGGCAGAGAAGGCGTCAGTGCAGTGCTGAGATACAAGTATGATGAGCATTTTTACCAGTAAAGAAAGCAAGCAAACCGTTACCAAGCAGCGCTTATTCTGTTTATCCAACAAAAACCACATAATATTACATATATATAAATATATTTGCATATACAACAATATACGCTTACCGTTGAGTTATATGCAGTAGGGTTTATGCTGCTTTATAAAGGGAACTCACACAAACACACCAACGGACCCACTTTTGACTGGAAAGCACTGATATGAGTATCCCTCCAAATTGCATGCTTGGCTGGCAAACTAAAGAGTTGAGAGTTGAAGCGTGGCGGAGCCGGAGCAGCGCACTGGCAATGCAATTTCCCTTGTGCTCATATTTCAAGTTCYACACAAAAACCTAAACTGCCAAAAATAAAAATCTGGGAAAAAAAATTTCGAAAGCGAAAATAAAACTTAACTTGAGAACATAAAAATAAAATGCATAATATTGTACCACGTTTGTATATATACATTTATGTGTGTTGGCTTGTGTGTGAGGCTAACGGCTTTGGCTACATAGCAGCATGCTGGCTAAACGCCATAAAGTATGCAACTTGCCGGCAGTTCAGCCAAGCGCACACTCATACCCTTACACACACACACACACACACACACACACACACACACACACACACACACGAAAGCATACTTCGCATACAGCTAACGGAATGCCTTTTCATTTTCCGTTAGTTCGTTTGATATATTTGGCATAATGTGCTGCTGCCTTTCTTTCTTTACTTCACTTCACGCCCCACTTACATTTCAGACTGCATACTTGTTATTAACATTTTTAATGTGTTTTTATTTTATTTTTTTATTTTTTATTTTTTTTTTTTGGCTTTTCAACACCAACGCGCCACTAGTCAGCAGATTCTTGTGCGAAAACCCACGCTCCTCGGCAGCTTTGCACTTTTCAGTGTGTGGCTTCACACATATGTGCACCTACGGCAACACTGATAGCAAATACTTTGCATAGACAAATGTTACATAACCTTATGCGATTTGAACTGCACCTCTGCCACACGCTCTCACATCCATCCGCCTCTCTCCCACACATTCCTSCTCACTCTTGCGTTGGCACCCAAATATGGAAATTGAAAAATTAAGTTCCAAATTGTAGTAGTTGAGTTGGTTCCGCCGCTTCAGCTCTTKKCGATTTGCCGAAAAATGGTGCTGTWATCTAGGTGTGGCTTCCGAGTGGTCTCTGTGTGTTGACTTGCTATCTTAAATAAATAGAATTTGCTCAAAAGTGGGGCTTGCATAAGTAAACAGGCGCCATTCACTTGTGCAACGAGCATAAAGGTAAAGCGGTATTGATGTGTATGTACCTTTAGGTGGATTTCTGTTTGTCAAATTGTGTCTGCAGCGGCACTTCGTATGTCCATTGTGTTCGGTCCGGTTGAGCACCTCAGTAGGTGGCTCTTGTAAAGCCGCAAAATGACAGGAGACCACAAAACTAATACACACAATTCAAATGTTGCTGCACCAACACATAAATATATTTGCACGTGTGCGTGTAAATTTTCTGCAAATGAGGTTATGTGTGCTCATCACTGCCATCTTTACTGTAAGTATGGAATTTTTATCCAAAATTGTGAGCAGCAAGTATTTTATTCACTGGAATTTAATAAATCTTCTAACTAGAAAATTGAAAAGCAACATACTTCAAGAAAATAATTAAAATTTTAGAATTAGTCAATGAGACTAGCTTAGTAAAAGAATATTCATTGAATGTGTGCCAGTAATGAAAACTCTAAAGATATGAACACTATTCAGCAATAGTGCTTGGAACAGGTGTAGTAATTTTTTTAAAACCAAAATGAACTGATGATATTATTTCAAGCATCAGCAAAACTAACGAATTGCATGATTTTTTTTTCCAGACCTATTTCTGTTGTTAATAATATTTTTACTTTTAGTAGCGAGTAGAGATGAGTACAAGTAAGTTCCCTTGCAGTGATCTCTTCTCAAACCACTATGCTAGCTAGGCTCGAAAGGAATTTAAGCATACAATACTTACTGTTACCCATTGACTTCATGTACCAGAAAACCCCGCTTATCACTTTCACTCACAACGTTGCTGCCTGACTGATCTCCGACAGTTTTTTTCATTTTTCACATTCAGCTGATGGAAGATGTACTAAAAAATTGCCGAACTTTACATGTAACTAACGGGTGAACCTAGTAGAAGTAATTTTTCCAATAGCAATTTGTTTTTGTTCTGATCACATGTGAGTCGTATCAAGCCGTCTTATAATATTATTTTTCACGTTCAATATTTTTCGACATATCATTACGGAAAGACACCTGAACAACGCTTCCAAATCGTTCAACTTTATTTCGAAAGTTCTCGTTCTGTAAAGATTGTGTTTCGCGCGCCGCGCTTAACTTATGGTCAACATAATCGGCCTACTGAGCGTTTTATTCACAACATATATTGATTAAGTGTGAAGAAAATATAGCAGCTGTAGTGTGCACGAAGACCGTGGAGAGTCGTTCGGTGCCGTTACTGTTCGGTGCATTTTACTTCGAGATTTTAAATTGAAAGCGTAGAAAATACAGCATGCACAAAATCTGAAGTCACTTGACCTTCCTCGCCACATCGCTTCGCTCTATAGGTTCTTGAAAAGTTCCAAGAAGATTTGACGATTTCATGCCAAATTTTATTAAGCGATGAGACCAATTTCCCATTCAATGGCTATGTAAGAAGCTCCCGCATTTGGAACGAAGAGCAACCTGACGAGATTCAAGAGCTGCTATTACATCCATTCAAATCAACGGTTTAGTGTAGTTTGTGGACCAATGGAATCATACGAATGTGCGTATCATTCGCCAGTTACCGGTAGAAATGCTTTAACTTTTACTTTGTGTGTGTTTTTTTTTTAAAAAGTAGGAAATCCGGAAATGGATCACCTTTTGGTACAACATGCAGCGTTATCTATTTTCGAACGACAGAAGTTAAAGTTATAGCAATTTCAATAAAAGAAAAAGTGTGCCATTTTCCATTTATTTCAAAGAACAAATATTGTTATAATAATTTTTTGGGTAGTGAGTTCACCTAAACCAGTTTTGGTCCTTAACGATGGCAAATGAAGTGCCGTTACTCAGTTCAGTAGCAGAAGATGATGATGTGAATAAGTTCTGCGGCCTCTCTATCGACACCTCTTCCAATATCCTGTTAGCCCCACTCTGCAGTTATGCCACCACCGGACTGTGATCAATCAGTATTACTATCATGTTCCTGACGTTTTTTCAGCCAACAATGAGCCAGGACTTTGTAAGCAGTTTTATGTTATGAAAGATCATTGCATCGAATTTYAACCTTGTTCGCCACAAATATAATATAAAGCAAAGGGCGTAKTAAAGATTACATRTTTCAAAAGTTKTTTTGACGATTTAAATGAAGACCAAATTTGTTAAATTATTGTTTTCGCTGGAAATATTACCATCGGAATGTTAGCTGAACTATATATGTATGAGTAGAAACACTATTTWGAGAAYTTTAACTGAAGATTAGGGTACTCACAACCGAGACAAAGCATGTCTCAAATCAATGAAAAGGAATAGCATACGTCCATTCTCCGAATTTGAACACAGCATAATTTTCCTGTTCTCAGACTTTAGCAAAATATTATCAAGAGMGAATGCACTGAGAAAGCGATAATGCTGGGACTAATGACAATTTAAATTTTTATCGCAATAGTTGACTTATTTCCTTCCATAAAATCTATAAGAATAATAAAAGCGAATTTTAATAAAAGCAGTCGTATATTTTTCTTACTAATATTTTGAATTTTACGAAGCTCAGTTTTACACATAACATGGCATACGCGGCTCTGGTGCAAACACACAATCGAAGCTTTCGGCGAAGTCGCGATTCTGTTTCATGCCCAAATAGAAGATATTCTCCGCCAACTCTTTGCCGAACTCGCAAAAATTCTGCCCATACAAAATGAAGAACACCTTCTTATTATCCAACTTAAAGCGTGACAGTATTCTATTCTCATGATCATAGATGTCACTGTTCACAGTCGCACGATCAGGCTTCAGCCAAGTACTATAATCAAACCAAGCATTTTGGAAAGCCTTCAAATAGACCAAAGCCAAAACACGCGCCTCGTCCAGCACATGCACGTACGGTGGCARCTTCAAGCATTCGGCAAGCTCATGCACGCGCTTCGGCTCACGGTCACGCTCCGTCGTGTTGTACAATGTCATCCACAGGTGTACATTCAATGTGGGATAGTAATAGGACATGGGCATATTGCGACTTTGATACAAATACAATGACCAATCCAACATGGTGCGCTCCACGCCCAACTCATAGCTGGAATTACGTCTACGATGCAACTCCAAATTACGCACATTATGCTTATAACTCTCGGGATACATCATTAACGATTCGTWTTCCTCACTTAATTCGTGCGGCCGCAAATAGATCTGCGGCAAGCGGAATTTCTCTCTCAACGTCTGCAAGCGATGACGTATCGGGTGATGCATGAAATTAWGCGTTTGCGAGGCCTTTAACAGAAAAGCATCCAGTAGTACCAGAAAGTTACGATGCTCCTCCGAATTGCTGCCAACATAGTTCTTGGTGATAATGTAACCAAAAAGTGGCTTGAAATATTCGAATGTTTCGCGATAGCAATCCTCCAGCCATTTCTTSGATGTACAAGAAACGAAAAAATCCAACATCTTGTCTTTGGCACTAAACTTCTCGGGATCTTGCTGCAGCTCAGTAAATAACTTCATGAGATCATCGAGTTCGGGCAAATGACCTAWAAGTCGCATATTAAATATATACAATTTTCTACTTCACTCCATTTATTCTCACCAAGTATCGTGAATAGCGGTTTACTATAACTGCAAACATAATCGTARAAGCTCTCGCAGGGATACCGATTTGGATTAACGGACTCATTTATGCGTATCGCGAGTTTTTCCAGCTGCCTTTCGCGTGCTCTGGACACATACTTATATGCTCTCAAATCGTCYCCACCCACGGGCAGACAAARCATGAGCGCCACCAAAGCGCATAGCAGGAYGTTGTAAGTCAAAAGCGCGCTTCGTCCCCGACCGTGGYGACATTGATGAATGTTCTTGTCAAGCGAAAACATTGTTATGAATCACGGATCTAATGCATTCACGTCACTATCACTCACACAAACCGTTAATAGTTTATTCAACTTCACGCAACTTAGTTTGCCCTGGAGCTCGCAAACCGCACTTCGTTGGTCAACACTTCGCGCCAACTCAACTTTGATTTGTGTCAAAAACTTCGGCAATTATTCGGTTATTTACAAAAAGCGCGTGACTTGAGTACTTGCAACTTGTGCTCGACACTACATATATTGGAAGTGTTAATGAGTTTTTGTGCGCGATTTTCACTTGATTATTTTAAGCGTGATACGCAATTTACGAGCGTTGACACTATGTAAATGCTGCCACCACTGCTCACCACTCGTCACTTGCMACTGACACGCTGTGGCGCTAATCTGCGAACTTAAGCTAATCGAACTAGCGACGAGCTGCACTTCTATCTTATACACATCTAGATGACTGACACGCTGTGGCGCTAATCTGCGAACTTAAGCTAATCGAACTAGCGACGAGCTGCACTTCTACACAATTATCTCTGCTGCTTTTGGTGATAAGCATTAATAAGCTATTTAATTTCATTGTAACTGTGTATGTTTGTATATTGTTTTCGATTTTTTCAACACATTTCGATTTCTACTTCCATAAAAGACAGGAAACAACAAAAAAGTGACTCAAAATGTTGCTAAATTCTTTGATAAGACTTTGAGCACACTTATGAAATGCCATTGATGTGAAACAAGTTTATAACATAAATTCTTAACTATATTTAAAAAAAGATATATATATACATATATATATTATTGGAGAGAATAAATGTATGCTCTTTTGTATTACAGTATGTATTTGATATATGATTCTATACTTTAACCAATAGTATTGCCTACAAAATTTTGTACATTCTTTGGAACTATACAACATAGAAACAAGAAAATGTGTTAGCTTCGGCTGAACCACAGCTATTATGAAAGGGTGTAAAATGTTTATGTCTTGATTTGGATTGGTCAGTTTGAATTGATATATGTGCTACAATGAGCCGATCTGAACAATAAGTTCGGAGCGGTAATAATATATGTAAAATTTTGTGACCATATCTTAGTAAATAAAAGAATTTCAGTTGGGTCGGTCAATTTTTATGACAGCTATATCATATATCGGTATATGATTCTGCAGATACTGTAACAATGCCTTGGATATTAATCTATGTCATACACAGAATCGATTTGGTTTGGGCAGTCTATATGTGAGCTGTATGCTAAAAATAGTTCGATATGGGCATTCCAACAAACGAGCAACTTGTTGGCCAAAAAAGAAGGTGTGCTCAATTTCAGGTCGATCAGGTCAAGAAATGATGGACTAGTTCCCGAGTTTGTAGACAGAGGCACACCTTATCAAATTAATCATCACTTTTATATATTTATTATAATAGCCTCCGAAGCTTTCCTTGGGATGTTATAAATATTGTAGTAAACTAAATATACTTTGTTCATGGTATATAAAGACATAATAAAACAAAAATAAAAACAAAACAAAAAGTGCCATTTCGGCACAAACATAAGCCGAAAAAAAGAAAGAAATGTTGACTTCACATACACAGAACCTATATTATGCTACGAAGATGCACATATTATAACTAAAGCAGAAATGTAGAAGATAGAAAAACATATTTTTAGTTTTTTCTAGCCATGTTGTTTGTTAAAAAGAAAGTTCAAGTCGCAGTTACTTAATAATAAAAAAATCCTTTATGAAAAACTTGATTTTGATTTTGATAGAACATTTTCAATGTTAGCAATATAGCCGCTTGAAAAGAATCTATGACAAATTTCTTCAAAATATATGCTATTCTATGTATTATAAACTTTGTGTCTAATTTAATATACTCTGTTTAGGGTACATTCTACAAAACGTAAGGTGAACAGTTTGAATTTCTGAGCATTTGTGAGCAAAAACAGGTAAAAGTTCTAATTTCAATTTCAAGCGAAACCCCTGAAGTCGATTTTATTTTGTAAATATATGTCGATGCAGTCGTATATCTCCTGTGCTACAAATAACATTGTCCCATACCATATAGTGTTTCAAAGGTGAGATTCTAGGATTCATTTAACCAAAAAAAAAGTTAAATTCGGATATATAGAACAAATTTACAGCTCAACAAAACTTTGTGAAAATAATGAAGAAATTCGCTATACAAGTATTTTAAA